CTTTTTTATTTACAAATTCTTGAAATCTGTAAAAACACGGTCATTAAGAAATTTTTGCAAAGGACTTTACTGCAGAATCAGATTTTTGTTTCAATGGTATGATTCAGATAAACCATAACTATTCACAGTGAAATTCTTTGTAAAGAATTCATGTAATAAAATGCTTAAATATTTCAAAAATTAATAATTCCCACATGTTCATCTTCAAAATGCTACACGCCGTATACATAACTACCAGGATAATTGTGTAAATACAGAGTGTGAAGTAAATGAATTCTAAAAATCTTATGAAGTCAAGCAATGTTCTTCAGCAGGGTGTCCCGAAATTCATGCAACAAAATTTGGTCATAGATTCTTAAGACAAATTTAGGGAACCCGTATTTTTTCTTTTTGCCAACTGGCCCCCACTTTCGGAGTTACAGCCCCCTAAAATCTGCCTCTAAGAAGTCTTTTTTATATATCAAAACCATGTACGAGAATCACTAAATTTGGTATACAGGGGTTTTATGACATGTGGAATCTCACAGTGCCACGCTTTTTGGCGAGAAACCCCCTTAAGACACTTTTTCGTGGGCCCCTTGTCTTTGGAACCAGAAAAATTTGGTCGCAAATTTGATTTTTTTTTAATTATTAGTTAGCTAGAAAGCCATTGAATTTAGACACTTTTTTATCTCTTGATATTTGTTTCGTAAAACGCAATGTTTTTGAGGTACATAACAAATTACAATATGCATTCGATCACATTTTGACATTTTTCTCGAAAACATTGCATTTTACGAAAAAAGTGTAAAGAGACAAAAAGTTTCTAAATTTAATGGCTTTCTAGTGGACTGCTAATTTTGAAGAAATTTAAATATGCGACCAAATTTTTTTAGCTCCAAAGACAAGGGAACCCACGAAAAATTATCTTAAGGGGATTTCCCGCCAAAAAACGTAGCACCATCAGATTCCACATGTCATAAAACTCCTGTGTACCAAATTTAGTGATTCTCGTACAACAGGGTTCTGAGATATAAGAAAAAGATTATTCTTAGGAACGGACTTCAGGGGGGCTGTAACTTCGAAAGAGGGGGCCACTTGGCAAAAATAAAAAATACGGGTCCCCTAAATTTGTCATAAGAATTTGTGACCAAATTTTGTTGCATGAATTTCGGGACACCCTGTATACCAAAAATTTAGGTATGTACAACATATTTAACATCATAGACAAACTGTACCCCAACTAGGACAGAATTTCACCAGCAATATCTGGTAAACAGTTAACAATAATAGAATATTTGTTTGAAATATTACATTATTTTTATTTTATTTTAGAAACTAGGAACATAATAATTAAAATTTACTGAAGAAGGTATACACGTAATATACAGGGTGATTCACAAATGGTGATCAAAAATGAAACCTCGTATTGTTTGGTGAATTTTAAGGGGAGTATTTCCTATAAAGTTTTATCTAAGACGTTAAAAAGATACAGGGTGTTGAACTTAAAAAAATATTTTTATTTTTTTTAAATAATTTAAAAGCTAGTAAGTGAAATAATTTGAAATTGGGCACATGTATTTATGTCCAAAATCTGAGGCCTTTTTCTAAAATTTATATCCTCCAGTGGCCGAGATACGGGGTATCAGTGGCATATTTTTCTAAATAAAATAATACGCCACTGCTTAACGGTAGTAATCATGATATTTTCGGATTCGTCTTTCAATTTTCTACAAATATACTACTCTCTTATATTTTTCGAATAAATGTTTATTTTCGAGTAAAACTTAAAAAATTGAGACAAAATCTTGCGCATTCTCTATTACGTATCCCATTATTTTAGTGCCTCCTTATTATGAGGTTATGCTCTATAACATTCAAATTCTTATCAAAAGTAACATCAAATCTATAAAAAATTGAGATAAGTACCTGATATTGTATAGTCATACCTTGTTAAGGTTTTTTCCTCATTTGAACTTATTTATACCCAAAAGGAAATTGTTTTGTAAAGTATTCATCTATCACAGACACTGGCTTAAACAAATACAAATACAGTATATTATTACATCATGTATTTTAAAATATGTCAGTGATAAAGATGTTAAATAATAATGGCCCGAACATTGAACCTTGTGGTACACCTGCCAGAACATATATGTTCTTTGATTTATATATTTTGTGTCGGTAAAGTTCTCTATAGGTATATGTTTTTATAAAATTTAGGAAACTGGGTTATAGAGATTCTTAATCTAAACGGAGAACCAATCTAGAATGATCCAATTTATCAAAGACCTTGGAAAAATCTAAAAAAACTAGTTGAGGGTGGTCTTCCTTTCAAAAAACCAATGTAGTCAATGAAATGAATGGAGAGTCAAGTTTATTTTTTCAGTGAAATAATTAATTGAAACTGGCATAATTTTATTGTCCAACCCTCTCTGCATAAACCTAAAAGCGAAATGTACCTCATAAAAAAAATTTCAACTGAAATTGGAACGGAACTTGCGAGTTCGTTGGAGCAAAAGCGAATACTCGTATGTACCTTTCATATTATTTTCCATGCATACCAAATGTACCTACGTGGAATAGATAAAGACGCATTTCCGATCAAAACGTGGCAGTAAAAACGCCAGCTGCATATGCCAACGTTTCAGCTAGTAATTTCCGAAGCGAGGAAAGCAGAAAATTGAATTTTTGTTCTTATTTTACATTCGGGTCCAGAACGGATCGAAGCTTCGATAGAGCGAGTTTAATTTGAATACATTAGTTACTCTGCATGTTTTGTTGGAATAAGTTTATTTATTTTACGTATTGCAATAAAACAAAGTAGCCTTACTAACGAAGTAAACAGCAACATCGGGTTCGAGGACACACATTTTAATAATTAAGAATAGTTTATTATAAATTTATGTGAAATATAAGATTTATGAATTAATTGGCATTGTTGTTAGTACGTTTTTCAGTTACCTACTAGCACTGTTAGATGTCAGTATTTATACAGAGTGATTCCCTTTTTATGATTAGGACTTTAACCATCGATAGATCTCGTCAAAATAATGTCATTTTGAAGTATACACTCTTTCTTACTGTTAGAGATGTAAGATCTTCAAAAACAATATATTTTTTTGGTTTTTATTTATTTTCTCGCAAACTATGAAAGCGATTTGTTTTATATTTAGTATGAAGTGTACGAATGACAAGTTCTATCGATTTACAAATTATTGTGAAAATCAATCATAGGCGTCCGTAAGGGGCTCTGGTATTGCAATCACAAGTGCAATTTAAGTTTGTGTTACAACAATAATCAGTTTTGATTTCTATTTCAAAGGAATTCAAATAAAAGGCAAAACCAAACAACGGAGAACGAAAATTAAACTAGAAAACATTCTATAATGCCCCTACATCAACTCAAGCGCCGTATAAATATTTCCTCCGACATCCTTATGGAAATATTTACCTCGCTCAGAATTATGAGACTCATTTTCGGAATGGGTTTTAAAGAGGCATGTTTGAACAGGACTATATTTCACAGGTCTGTTATCTTTGGCCTTTGAGCTTATATGCCCGCAAAATAGGTACCCCAGGCGTTAGCGTCACGGAAAGAGGTTGAAGTGTTAAAATTCCTCTGGATTAGGATTAGGATTAGCGGTGGAGATAGAGGCAAACAGGGATGTCTCGGGAATTCGGCATTGTTGTACTGTGTCAGTATGCAATATTGCTTTTCGTCTTATTCTGGTTGTACAGAGTAAGCCAAATAATTCTACTCACCCATGTCCGGAAAAGAAATATTTCAGTTGCGGGTTCTAGAGGACAAATGGAAAGGAGTAGTTGGGTTATTATTGATGTAGAAATAAAATGATCAAGCCAGTTTTGATTATTATTGTAGAGGGAACCACATTAATCTACAGAGTGCAGTATTTTTTTGTCTTCTTCTTTTATTGTGTCATAATTTTACGTTTTTTACAATAAACAACTGTATTTAAATTATACAAAAAAGGTATACCTTTTATATTTCAGAAAAATGCTCAATTTAGAAGGTGTTTTAGGAAACTGATAATAGTATTTATTAGACCATGATTTAGTAGTTTCTTGCACCGTATTAATGGTAGTCATACAAATCACGAAAACAAACGAAAAATACATTTTATTCACATGAACAAAAAAAGTAGAAAATAATAAATGTATAAAGAAAATAATATATAACTGATATACAGGGTGATTCACAACTTATCCAAAAAAACTTTGGGAATGGACGAGTCGTGAAAAATGTAGTAAATATCGTAAAAAAAATTGTAAAATCCTTATAGTTTCCGAGAAAAAAATTATTGAAGTTGTAGTATGTAGTCTCTAGTATCACTTGACCGCAGGCAATTCCGGATACTGAAATCCGATTTTAGTATTATCGTTGTTGCGATAGTGTTTATATTAGTTTTCATTCCTTTTAATTTATGGTCAAGCAATACAACGGGCCCAAATGCAAGTCGGCGGAAAAATTTTGAACAGTTATTGTATGAATCACCTTGTAAGAGACAACTAAAGTACCATATTTAAAAACTTTTACTTTAATGCTGTAAAATAAAAATATAGAGAGTTTTTAAAAATGCCTGAAGGAGCCGGCTCGTTTCAGAGAGATTCTGAAGCGAGTTAATTTGTTAACATAAACTGGTCTCAAAGGACTAAGGCATTGCCTGGAGTTAAATTTAAATAAACCAACAACGTACTTACAGCTTTTCTAAAGTTTAATTAGAGGATATACAGTGGAAGGTATAAGAATTGTTTCGTGTATCTACTTATTAAAATTTTTTGCATTTGTGAAAGTCTGCAGAATTAACTTATTAATAAATTACAGTACTTCATACAGTGAGTCAGATACGCTATTTTTTTCTCCATTTTCCTCTTTTATTCTCTTCTAGAGACGTTATGCGAGTGCCCCACATGTAAGGCATTTGGAAAATAACAAGAAAGATAATTGATATAATCCTTAAACGCTTCAAATCATACCAAGTGTAACAAAAACAGTTCTGAAAATTTTATCATGCTTTATTTCATAGACAAAACGTATTATATCAAAATAATGGATGTTTTGCCTCGCTAAGCTTGGCAAAATAGATAACTTCCATTTTTGAACGCAAAAGTACCATTTCGCGTTCTGGATACTAAAATAACTATTTTATAATTCCCGACACTATATTTCACATAACTTTATTTTCTTTGAAACATTAAATCAAGTGGCTTCTCAAAAAATGCAACATTTCAGATCGATTTATAAAAAATGTAAACGTTTACAACCATTAAAAATCACTTATTGCACTTATACGAGTATATCACTTCATAAATATATAAATAATGCAACGTACACATCAATATACAATTAGGGAGTTTTACATACAAGGCATTTTGTGATATTTCATACTAGTTATATCTTTTATACATTAATTTTATTGTCTTAGTTTCTCCTTTTTCTATACCGGGAAACCTGAACAGTGGATTAATTTTTTCTAAATCTTCATAGGCGATCTCCAAAAGGTTCTTAAAACCCAGTTTTTCAGCTAATCTTTGACCGCCAACCGTGGTGAATGCTGTGACAGACACTTCTATTCCTACTGCTAGGCAAATTTTACGCCTGAAATCAGAATTTAATTCTTAAAAAAATATCTTAAAAGTGTAGCTAGAGTAAATATTATCAATATTATGTACAAAATTGCAATGTAGACTTATTTTACCAAATCTAATATCATGCAACTAATGAATATTAAACAAATTCAAAGAATAAAGATGTATTTTGTTGCCTCTTCAACTGCATTATTGCATTTTCGTGATGCACATCTAAAACGCAATTTACTACAGCTCCTCATTATTATATTGTGAAGTATCTTAGGCTATTACAAGCATCAACCCGTTCCAAACTTTTAACCCTTGTTGTATTTTGGTTTATTTTCTACCAAAAGTGGACAACTTACAAAGTGTTATCGTCATTATCCAACTTGATAATCTAGCCCGAATATATTAAATTTATATTCATCACAAAATACTCTCCAGTAACAATACCATCCTTTTGTTGGCGTTGAGAGAAACACGTTAAAAAGAAGAAGGTACACAAAAAGGGATAGTTGGATTGGTACAACAAAGTATTCATATTCGCCTTTTATTTTAGATATCTATGAAAAACCTACCTGGCCTGTAAAAGCTGGTACCCTATCCCATCTCCTCTATATTCCGGTAACACGTACAAACCAAAAGCGGATACGTATTCTTCAATGTTTAATTCCGTGAAGATATCTATACAATTCTGGTATACGTGGTACAATGCTCTCCCTGCGACACGTGAGGCTCTTCCTTTAAAAATCTAAAATTTTGAATAAAATCGAGGCTAATAAATGATATTCAGGTACTAAGGTCACACAGTGAGCTGTGACGGTATGTTCAGCACGTTCGCTACACATCGAATGCATAGACCTTTATGTATATTTCAATTTTTGAGTAAAAGTCAGAATTGAAATTTTGATTTTAAAATTTGTATTAGGACATCATTTGAGGTTATAAACAGGTTTGTTTTAAAAAAATATTGTGTAAAATAATAAATAATGGTACTTCTCTCTTGAGTATTTTCGTGTTTTTTTAATTTATGAGCACCCTGTATATCTAATCTAAGATGTTTGTATGACAATCTCATTTTTTCGTGGGGCGGAACTTTTTATAAAGAGTGACATTTTTCAATAAAGTCAAAAACAAAAGAGTTTCTCCTCTTATCAACTCCATCCGTGGACACACTGTATATACATTATTAATAAACTTCATTGTACTTAAATTCTCAAGTTTTTACTAAATTATTTTATTAAGAAAGAAAAAAAAAATCAAAAAAATCTTATTTTTTGCTTTCTTTTTTCTTTTTGAATAAAATTTTCCTTTTACATTTTTTAAATAAGCCATTTCGATGAGAAATTCAATTCTCTACAAAATGAACTATACCCAAATTATGCTTTGTTTTCGTGCTATATTTAAAAAACTGCAAAAGTGCTTTTTCACCCCTATCTTCAATTTCAACCCTCTAATTTAATAGTACCCCGCGTTTTTTTTCATTTTTAATGACCCTTCGAACCTTGATAAAAGTCCTTGAACGTCTTATTTCCTTCCTTTTTTTGCAAAAAATGAGAATTAAAACGTATAACGATAAACGCGACGAAAATCGAAAAATTGGCTAAATTTGAGCGGCCATATATCAGTCAATTTTCATACAAAAATACTTTACAACCTCTTCTTTTGAAGGAAATTTTATCTACTTTTTTTTTCTATGAAACAATGCCTATACCTATCTTTACTCAAAAAAAACTGGAGGCAAAAAAGTATCAGAAAATCAGAAAATCGAATTTTTTGCTTTTTTCAAATTGTTTATTAACGATTTTTTGCATAAAATTTTCGTTTTAAATTTTTTAAATAAGCTTTTTCCATGGGAAATTCAATTCTCTAAATAATTTTCCCTATGAACTATAGCGAAATTTTGCTTCGGTTTTGAGCTACAAATAAAAAACTGAAAAGGGTGCATTTTTACCCCTATCTCCAATTTCCACTCTCTAATCTAATAGCACTTTGCGGCTTTTTCATCTAATATGACCCTTTAAACGATTCATGCAATAAAATTGCTTGAACGTCATTGTTCCTTTTAACCCTGTTTTTTTGGACAGTGTTACTTCATTCATTCACATCTAACTAAAATAGTATACACTATCTGTGGCCTTAATATTAGATTTTAACGTGTATACCGAACATAGCGAACATAGACATATTATGACCTTATTTTTATTTTATTTTTAATTTAAGTCATTGATACATTAACTTCTAGTTATTTATTATATAAATAATATTTCAAGTACATCTTTATCTTTGTACTTACTATAGTTTGTACCTACTTCATCTATATTTCGATTTTCATTTTTATATCTCCTTCCCAAAAGATTGCAGCCTACGAATTTTGTTACATTATTTGCGTCCTTGGTCAAACATATTAAAGACAACCGTAGCTCGAACATCTTTTTCCATACTTGAATATAGTCGTCTATTGACTGTTGGTCTTCCAAAAAATCTAAAAAAAAAATTATAAAATGTCACATGATAATATTGAATTACTTATCGACTTGCAAAACTCTAAAATAGTATATTCATCATGAACAATCCATGACCAATAAATTTTTTCATGTTTTTGTTTTGAAAAGATATATCCCGAAGTGTCAATTGTACGCATATTACGTATTAAATTATAAATCGTGTTTGAAAGTTTGTTAAAAACCTTACTTGTGTATATACAGATTGGTGATTTTGTCACAAAACCGGTTGACATATGGTGCAGTATCTCATCATAGTAATCTCTTGTAAGGTCTTGAATCCAGTACTGATTTTTCTTGCCTCCTGCATCTCTTTTACCTTCAAATCTACCCCATATTGTGGGATAAGCAACATTTTCTGGCCTCTTCCAATTCATGTTCGAGTAGATCTCATTATCGCTAGCATTTAATGCAAATTGAAACAATACTTGTTACTTAGTAAGTAAAACAAAAGATCAAATCTATTCACTTTTAATGTATTTGCTTTTATACTTAACTTTAATCAGTAAACACTAGTAAATGAAACCTTGAATAAATTATTCAAAAGCAGATATGGTTAGCGTAACGTGAGGAGTCAAGGTTATGTAATAAACAGATATATTTAGATAGCACCGATTCCAGATTTCGTGTGAGTTATTAGACAGTGATAAGGAATGAGAAGATGCGATGCCAAAAAGTTCTGGTAATAATAACGCAGTTTATAAATGTTTAATGCAAAAGTCATAAATAAACTTCTTCTGTTTATAACTTTTGATCTAATCAATATTTTTTGACGTTCGAGGGCTAGTTTTGTAGGTCTATTGAAAACAAAAAAAAAAGTGCATTACTGTTTTCTCGTGAAAATGAATGGAAAACAGTTATAAGCCAAAAACGTGAATTTACGTAAAAATTGCACAATTAGCCACCCTGTAAACAATCTTCCCCCCATTTTTATGACTGTGGAAACTAATATGTTATTGTACATAATATTTAGCATCTGTAGTGATAAATTCAGCTGGACGAAAAAAATGTCGCTCTTTTTCCTGGCCTATCAGGATATCTTGCACGGTACACTTGACAAGCTCTGTGGGCATTTTCATTTGCTTTGCCATAAATTATGAGCACATCATAATATTAGTAGTTGCTAAATAAATGCGCCATTTTCAAAAGAAAACTTGGAAATACGGCTATTAAATGTACTTTCGAAAATCAGCACAGCAATAACTACAACAATGTATTACAAACTGTCTTTCACAGTCCGGCTTCATAAGAAACCTACAAATTCGTAAAAAAAGTGTTACAGAACTTTTTGTAAGTACTCGCCGCGATAAAATACATGTATTTCAGCAGTTCCAAAACAGTTTTAAACGCATTTTTAATTAGCTTTTTTTTCTATGACCGTAAACTTCCGATACAAGTTTGTGACATCAGTTAAATCAGTTTTTGCTCCTTTTTCACCCCTTTAAATTTTTAACAAGTTCATTAACACCCTGTATAATATACACATCAGTATAACGAAAAAGTTTTACAAAAATACATTATGTGGTACTTTTTATACATTCATACTGTTTTTTATAAAGTAAATAACAGATAACTAATTAATCCGATATTAAATATCATGATTTTGCAACGAAAATGGATCTCTCGACTTTCTTTGCATGACTTTTACCGTTTCGGTATAAATTTGCAATTTGTAAAGATTATAACTATACATTATATACTATACTACTACTACACTTAGATTATAAGTTTAGATAAAGGTAGAATTGAAAGGTAATTTTCTCAGTGTTCGTTATTACATTGTAAAGTCCATTATAAGCGCCAACTGCTTCTAAACTTTTTAACCTTACTAAATCCGTCATCGATCGGCATTAAATGTTATTTTACAAGTTTGAACACATTCTCAATGAATATTTTGTTTTATATCCGAGTCTGCCAACGGTCGATAACTTTACAAAGTATTAAGCGCCATGTCCTACTTGAAATTCAATCGTGAATAACACCTTTCCAGAAAAGTACATTGTGAGCTACCGACAACATCAGCACTTGTTAACGCTGACAAAATATAAAAACTCTACCCCTCATAAAAACCCTACCCCTTATAGAAAAATTTCCTCAAAATTATATGTGAGTATAAGGATATAATTATTTTTTTTTAATTTTATTGAATTTATTCTAAATATTTTTTATTAAATTAATATCAAATAAAAAAAATTGTATATACCTTATAAGTGAAT